CGGTGAAGATTAAGGAACGAAAATGACGATTATTAGTAATTTTTAATTTTGCAAGTAATTAAATTATTTTATATTCGATTTTAACGCAACTTTGTGAAATTCATAAATTAAAAAAATTGTAGATTGATTAAGTGGTCAAAATTATCAAGAGATTCTTATAATATAATACAAAATAAAATATAATTGTTCGGTAATTACGTATAACGAAATTAAGACACTGAATGATTAAAGAAAGTTTATGATACAAAATAGATTGTCCTACGACGGTCCCAGACCGGGCCAAGCCCATTTGGCTATCTTTAAACGTAACAAGTTTTTAATGACATATCAATGATGTAACTTATGCTAAGAAAATTGTTTTATTTTACCGTAGACAAAGATGAAGGGAGGTTTTAGAGGTAGGTTTTACGTATTCTTCAGAGATTTGCATTTGATATCGTTTGTAAGATCGCTCTGGGTATGATCCTGCTTACCCAATGCCTTCTTTACTACACAATTACACATGATGATTTTTAACAAATAATTATACTTTCGGGATAAATAAAAGGATAAATTGTATAAAAAAGTAACGTACTTTAACTTRAGTTCTATTTTGGATAACATACTTTTAAAACTTTCATTTTGGTATTTAAGATGTAAAGTTTTAAATATTTAAGTATCCGGGTAACAGGTTGAAACATTAACCGGTTATCATGCTAATGTGACGAGTGATGTGGTATCCAACTCCGTATTAAAATATCTATGTTGATATCACTCGCCACATCAGCATGATATCCGGTTAATTAAATGTTTACAACTTTACATCTTAAGTACTAAAATATAAGTTTTGAAAGTACGTTACTCAAAATAAGAATCAAGTTAAAGTACGCTACTTTAATTGAATCTAGAGTATTATTGTAATTAATACTGAAAGTAAGATAATAGGAAATAATGTAATTAATAGATATGAAACTCATAGGTTCCATATTTTATTTATTAATAATAATACTTCCATACATCATATATTTCATAATCTCGAACCAATGACATGCAAGTAGCTTAGCCAATTTCGGGAGTTCGGACGACAATCCCACGAGAGTTCACTCGAACTCGAACTCGGTCGCACCGGAAGTCCCCAGTCACTGGAGTGCCGTCCAGTATCACAAACGCGTCAACTCGTGGATTCTCTCTTTCTATCGTCACCACTGCATCTTCTCCTCTTCGTCCTACAACCTCCGGCCATGAACGCTTTCCTGTATCAATTATCCCATCACAAACTTTTTTAATTGATCTTTTAAAACATGAATTTGCAGATGTTTCTTCAAATCATGTGAAATACAAAAAAGGTATACAAAATCAAACGAAAGGAAATAGGGTCTTACCTTCACAATCAGTCATTTTTAGATGAGTTGTGAAGAATATGAAAAACCTTGGAGTATAAATAGAGGTATAAACGTACACCGATAGCGTATGAGTTGTCATTTTACGTTACGGGTCGTATTTGGGTGGGCAAAAGTCCAAACTTTTTGGATCAAAAGTCCAAGTACCATTTTTGTTGACTTTTTAAATTTGAACACCAAAGCAAATCACTACTTTTATTTTATTTTCCAAATTTGAGCATAACAAACATAAGATATTTGGTTTGGTTTTTACGGAAACAATATTTCTATCTTTTGAGACAGATAAAACTGGAAAGGCTGGTATACATATTACTAGGGGTGTTCAAAAATCCGATCAATTTGATCAATCCGATCAACCCAACCTAATTTAATGCGAAATAACTCAACTCGAAGCAATTCGGGATCATTTTATTTATTGGATTTAATATGATTGTCGAATTTTCAAATCGTAGGTATTGGATTGATATTAGTTTATTATTATTTGAACTCAATCCAACCCGATGAAATCGATATTTTTTTATTTATTGGATTTAATATGATTGTTGAAATTATATTAACATATACATTAGACAATTACACTATCACGTACGCTCTTCATATACACATATTTTCAATCTATTAACATCTCTATATAACTCATTCGTATATATGTTCAGTAACTTTGAACATATATATRTAAATTGAGAAAATTAACAAAATGTGATATATGAATAAGTTGTATTAAATGGTTGATGATGAAAAAGAAATTATGAGTACATAATAATATATTCAAGATTATAAGAATATTTTAATGTATCAAAGTATCAACCTGACCAACCCGTACGGTTTGGGTTGGGTTGCATTGCACTTTGATTTGGGTTGAGTTGGGTTAAGATTTCTCAAATCGCAAACATTGGGTTAGGTTGTTCAATGTCTTCAACCTGATCAACCCAACCCATGAATACCACTGCATGTTACTTCTTATGTTGCCTCCACATAAGATATACTAAATTTGTTTGGTTTTATGTAGACATTTCAACGATAAAATTCATAACAAGATACATAAATCGAAAACCTAAAACTATGTATATTAACGTAAAACAATATGAGAGTTTCACCGAAGCCTACAAAAGATGACTCAGTGTCCATTTTCGTGATCTTCTTCACCATTTATATAGTCAGACATTCGAGCACGGGATTGTGTGATTCTACTACTCGTATGGTGGTTTCGCTGTGTAGCTACTTTTAGAGGGTTTTTACAAATATATTTCTATTGCAAGTGACGATGATATTGTGACTGTAACCATGGTGGTTGGAAATCAGTTACGTTTTTAATCTTTTAAAGACCTTAGTGGTTTCAATTTACTTCTCTTCTTTTTTCAATTTTTGTTTTGTACCTTATAATATCAATTAATTAATTATTAGTTAAAATACATTAAAAATTCGTATTTCAAGCCTAATAAAAGTATCCAATCGATGAAACCGAACTAATTCAATCATCCATTGGATTGGATTATCCAATGTTAATCGGATCAGATTGGTTGACAAAATCCAACATCCAATGGATGATTGGATCGGTTCGGTTCCTCTCACATCCAATGGATGTCAATCGATGAACATGCTTTATGTAATTCCTTTTTTTTTTTTGCCACAAATGATGTTTGATAAATACTCACATTTTGGAGAATGAAAATCTGAAATATTACTAAAATTGTTATCAAATACATGGTAATACGAAATAACGTTGCATAATTACATATATGAAACTCATAYGTTCCATATTTTATTTATTAATTCATTCATACATCATTCATTTCATAATTTCAAAACAACATGCAAGTAGCTTATCGAATTATGGGAGTTCGAAGGACAGTCCCATGAGAATCCACCCAAACCCAGACACGATCGCACCGGAAATCCCTAGGCGTAGGAGTACCGTCCAATAACACGATCGCGTCCACCAGTGGATTCTCTCTCTCTATTATCACAGCGGCAGCTTCTCCCGTCCTTCCTACCAACTCYGGCCACGAACTCACTACAAGAGATAGGGTTTTTAGAGAAGAAAGTTTTAGAGAAGAATTCAGAAGCGTAACTAAAGGTGATTTTTAGAGAAGGAATTATACGACAGATGTGAGAAGTGTAACTGAATATAAGATGATTTTCAGATAAGGATTTGAAATCAAATTATTCGCAACAAAAACTGTCCCTAAAGTTTTTAGAGACATTTTCTCAGAAAATCGTCTCTAAAAGTCAAGCAGAATTTTTAGAAACGCTCTTCAAAATGTCTCTAAAAAATAAAAATGTTGTTTATTTTTATTTTTAAATTAATAAAAAGTTTCAGATACGCTTTTATAGATTTTAAAGCTTCTCTAAAAGGTTTTTTTTTTAAATAAATCAAAATTCAAAAATATGTAATAAATCATTATTAGAAATCAACGTAGAGTTTTGCGATTTCCACGGTTTCTTTTCGAATTAGGGTTCAGATACCTCCAGATCGACCCCTCCTTCATACGCTCTTTTTCGACTCCAGACCCACTCAATTACAGTCCCAGATCGAGAACAAGGTATGTCCAAATCRATTTCCTTTTCCTTCTTCTCCTGTGGTTCGGATTTCTGGTTCTCCTTCGTCCCTGTAGTCAATGTGCTTTTTTGTTTGTCCAAATATGCAATCGATGTGTTTTTCGCGATTTCTGATTCGTCCTTGGGTCGTATGGACATCACCTATATAAACACAGAGCTAGGGTTCTAGTTTTGTTACTGGAGCTACCATAGCCGCACAACCATCATTCAACCTCAGGTTCGTCTCTCTTCCTCTAGTTGAATCTGTGCATTAACTCTATACGTTTATCAACATCGCTTAAAATCTACAACTATTTTTCTCTATGCTTGGTAATTGTTTTCATCTAATTGTTCGTAGGGGTTTCAATTAAGGTGAAATCAGATGGTTATTCTGTGCATTGTAAACTTATAGCCTGTTTTCAGGGCAATCAAAAACCGGAAATTAGTTGTCAAGCTTTAATTTTAATAGAAAACACTTTCCATGAATCGTATTTTTTTTCACACTGAGAAATTCACGTGACCATATACGAATAAAATGTTTCGACTCTGTAAATCCCTTTAACTCAGGGGATAATGAAGCCAATGAAGCCAATGAAGGTATAGTTTACATTCTATATGCAACGCAATTGGACTCATCAATGTAGAGCTTCAATGAGGAAGATATTGACAAAATGCTACTGTGCGCAAAGCTGACAGCAACATTAAAAACTTGGGCTACGGGATAAGTGTAAGTCTTAACCTTCATGACCAAAAATCTAATCTGTTTGAGTGCAAGTCTGGTCAAACATGAGTAGACTCTGAACGAATAGACGATTATGGAATGGACTTAAATCTTGAAGAGTTTTTCTAACTATGGTGTCGCATGGAGTTAACTTGAACTATAATGATTAGATTACTGATAAGCATCAATCACAAGTATGATTTGCCTTGAACATAAATCTGGTGTAACATAAGCAAATCTAGTTTGCCTTCATGACAGCTAATCGTTGACAGAATTATTGGTGTAAGATAGCTCAAACCTCTAAATTTGAGTCATCAACGATCCATAACTCTTGTCAACATAACTAAAAGAAGTAACTTTAAATCATCAAAAGTTTTGGACCATCTTGATCATAAAAATTGTAAGTCTAATCCATTATGATTAGAAATTTGATCAGACGTGATGAAGTTAATTGTAAGGGGCTATTTGTTTTTAACTTTTCAAAACTTAATTTCCACTTACCACTTATTTGGTAAGTGGTTTTCATAATAAGACTCTTTGTTTTTTGCTTTAATTAAGTATCACTTAACACTTATTCGGTAAGTGGTTTTCWTGATAGCAAAAACTTGTTATTTAACTCAATGCATCAATAATCTGTTTTGATAGCTTAAACTTGATAATCTTGACAAAATAAGAACAAAGACATTAAATCTGAATTGCTGCTCATGGTTGGTCTTGATGTCGACTTCGAGTTCATATCATTGTATAATATATAGAAATTTTTGACATGAAACCTTTGTTTGGTCTTTGCTGCTTATGGCTGGTCTTTCATGTTGAATCCAAAATTTGACATGAAACCTTTGTTTGGAGGAACATATGTTGTCTTCTCTTATCTAAATACTTGTATAATGTATAGAAATTTTTGTTGCATGTCTCTGGACGTAGTTGCTTTCCCTAAGGCTATATCATTAAGATGACCATCTTCATAACTGCTGCTCTTGTGACTGGTTGCGACTTAAATGTGATGTTTATTTCCTTTTTCATATMATGTAATGAATGAGAAGAAATATAAAAATTGGATTTATTATCACCCTAAAAACTGTCTTCTTGATTCAAGAATCTGAACCAATCTCCCCTGTAAGTTTGCCATGTTCCTAAGTCCTAACACCATGGCTTTTCTATACCCTTATGTTMATTATCTTGAGAGAATGTAGTATAATTTTAAGGGTGCTCTTCATGCAACTTAAAGTGCACAGATAACTAGCTAGCATTAGCTTTTAAAATACCTTTTTTTGTAATTACTTCTCTTTATGTAATGTATAAGATATGAAATGAGTGCTACATTGTGTAGAATGCAGGTTGATACGTACTTAATGTTGCTTAGCATTAGTCGAGGTCATTCTCCATCTTAAAGATTGCAGGTAAATAGTGTTTGAAATAGTTTTTGTTTCAATGCCAGTTCTTTAAATGCATGTTAATGTGTTCACCGCTCCAAAGGAGAAGTTTGGTAACTGCTATGGTCAGGACTCTGCCTTTTTGTTGGATCCAACAAAAACTTTCATGTTCATAGTGCTTATTCATGTTCATGATTTTCAACACATTTAATTGGTTTTTGCAGGATCCGTCTTGAAACGGTCCTTTCTAAGTTAAATGTTAGTTGCTATTTTGCAATGCATTTATGGATTATCAACGTATGCTTCCTCTTTGCCCAGTTTCATAAACTGCTTACCTATTAAGTTACAAGTTACATGTATGATCAATTTCACATTCTTCATGCAACCCATTTGGGAGCTTCCAAATTCTAACAATACCCAAAATTTAATGCTTGTTGGTACGGTGACCTGCTGGTTTGGTGTTTCTCGTGCAATTTGTTCTTT